GTTACAAATATTATTCTGACCATATTTTGTTCAATATTGCTTATCAAAATATTTCCTCTTTTCAAGATATGAAGCGTCAAAGATTTAGCATTCTGGCCCTTTGTGACCCCTTATTACGTAAGATATTCCTAAAAGTTGAAAATATGTTGTTGCAAATGGTCTAAAATTAATAAAAATCGAAAAATCGAGCAGAAAAAGTGATAAAATTTTTTGGACACACGGGGGATCGAACCCGGGTCGCCCGCGTGACAATCCAACGCGCTAACCATTAGGCCATCGGGATCGCCGCTTCGCGTTTTCAAATGCAAATATCTCGAGATTGGCTTTTTCGATTTTCAAACAAATTACATATTTGGCTTCTGCAAAAGGGTCTCTATCCAATTCTAAAACAAAAATATAAAAAAAGAAAAGTTGAAAAATTACGTTTTTTAAATTCGCTTCCGGTTTCGACCGGAAGTATTGACGTCGCACGAAAAGGCGATTCTGCAACGCTATAAGTCATGAACTATCATCTACAATTAATCTTCAGTTCATATCTAAAGCAGTTTTCGCTACTAAATCAAGACAAAATTGCATTTTAAAATCAGAAAATCGTCCATATCTCACGACCGTCATCGACGAAAAAAATTTCCAATAAGGTTCAGATCAGTACCTATCAGATGGTAAAGTTTCATAAGAATCGGTCCAGTACTTTACGAGAAATCGCGTGCACAAAATCGGTAAGAATAATAATAATAATAATAATAATAACTAGATGAGATCTCGTTGCGAGCAACGAGTAGGTCTTCCGTTGAATTTCTCGATAAGATGAGATGTGATTTTGACTGAGATATTAGTTAAAGGAGAAAGACATTAACTTTTTCTTCATCAAATTTAAAGTTTCTGATATTTATCACGATAGTCTGAACATCTTTTGTTCAATATGGCTTTAAAAAATATTTCCCCTTTTCGAGACGTAAAGCATAAAAAATATAGCATTTTGGCCCCTTGCAACCCTTATATCCATAATATATGACCAAAATTTTATAATATATTGTTCCAAATCATTAAGATGACTATTCTTTTGCTTCAGTGATGTATAACAAAATATTGATCATAAGAGAGTTATAGATTAAAGAGTTTTGGCCCTTCTGAGCCCCTAATTTGAGGGGTCAGCCCCATTTTTTTTTTTGGTATCAAATGAAAGGTCTTGTGATTTTGAAAATTTTTTGTTCAGTATTTATTTGTTTTTAAACCCATTTAAACGAAGATTTCTATTCGTTGTGGAGATATGCTTAACGGAAATGTTATGGAGCCATCCCTACAAGTCCTTAATGGGGTCGTTATACAAAAATTCAAAGGATGCATATTGTTTAGAACATTATTCTGACCATCTTTTGTTCAATATTGCTTTTTAAAATATTCCCCCTTTTTGAGATATAAAATGTCAAAGTTTTGACATTCTGCCCCTCATGACGCCTAATTACGTAACATATGATCAAAATTTTATCATATATTGTTGCAAATTGTTAAGATGACTACTTTTGCTTCAGTAATATATAACAAAATATTGATTATTAAAGAGTTATAGATTAAAGAGTTTTTGCCCCTCTGAGCCCCTAATTTGAGGGGTCAGCCCCCCCCCCCCCTCATGTTTTTGGTATCAAATGAAAGGTCTTGAGATTTTGAAGATTTTTTATTCAGTATCTATTCAGAAATTTCTATTCGTTGTGGAGATATGCTAAATAGAAATATTTAGGGCCACCCCTACAAGTCCTTAATGGGGCCGTTTTACAAAAATTCAAAGTATACATATTGTTTAGAACATTATTCTGACCATCTTTTGTTCAATATTGCTATTTAAAATATTCCCCCTTTTTGATATATAAAGCGTCAAAGATTTGACATTCTGGCCCCTTGTGACCCCTAATTACGTAATATATGATCAAAATTTTATCATAGATTGTTGCAAACTGTTAAGATGACTACTTTTGCTTCAGTAATATATAACAAAATATCGATCATTAGAGAGTAATAGATAAAAGACTTTTGGTCCCTCTGAGCCCCTAATTTGATGGGTCAGCCCCATTTTTTGGGTATTAAATGAAAGGTCTTGTGATTTTGAAGATTTTTTATTCAGTATCTATTCAGAGATTTCTTTTCGTTGTGGAGATATGCTAAATGGAAATATTTAGGGGCCACACCTACAAGTCCTTAATGGGGCCGTTTTACAAAAATTCAAAGTATGGATATTGCTTAGAACATTATTCTGACCATCTTTTCTTCAATATTGCTTATAAAAATATTCCCCCTTTTTGAGATATAAAGCGTCAAAGATTTGACATTCTGGCCCCTTGTGACCCCTAATTACGTAACATATGATCAAAATTTTATCATATATTGTTGCAAACTGTTAAGATGACTACTTTTGCTTCAGTAATATATAACAAAATATCGATCATTAGAGAGTAATAGATGAAAGACTTTTGGTCCCTCTGAGCCCCTAATTTGATGGGTCAGCCCCATTTTTTTTGTATCAAATGAAAGGTCTTGTAATTTTGCACATCTTTTTTTCAATATGCTTTAACAAATTATGAACAGGTATGAAGATCTGAAACAAAATGTGTCAAATCTTGTGAGATATTTCTGAGACATTTTTTCAGGGCCCTACCGAGCTCCGGCGCCTTTTGCGCTAGAAAGATTTGGAGACCCAATTGCAACTCATCAAACCTTCCTTTCTTTTCACTGAAAATCTTAAGTCGATATCTTGAGTCGTTTCGGAGGAGTTTCCTGGACAAGCCGACCCTCTGAAAATCAGAAAATCCTAAATATCTCGAGATAAGAAGTGACGTCATCAATCAAAAAAATTTCCAATAAGTTTCAGATCAATACCTACCAGATCTGAAAGTTTCGTGAAATTTGGACGAGTCGTTTCTGAGAACTTGCGTGCACAAAATCGGTTGGAATAATAAAAGGGAAAAAGAAACCGAACGAAAACAATAAGGTCTTCCGTTGGAGACGGAAGACCTTAATAATAATAGGGAAAAAAGAAACCGAAGAATAACAAGAAGGTCTTCCGTTGGAGACGGAAGACCTTAATAATAATAATAATAAGAAACCGAGTAAAAACAATATGTTCCCAAACTCCGTTTGGGGAACATAACTAGATATGAAACTCGTTGCGAGCAACGAGAGGTCTTCCGTCCGATTCCGGAAAGAAAACGTAAAATCGAGCTGAAAAGAAAAAAATATTTTGCACATGAAGAGGATTTAACACTAGTCGTCAGCATGAAAATCCAATACGCTTAAAAGTACGCTATTGGGACCTCTGCTGCAAATCTACTTTTACATATACTTCTGAAAAAGTGTTTCTGACTTAGAATTATGTAAGACAGGTCAGTATTCAAAATTTATCATTTATGCTCAATAACTTGAAGCACATCTTTGAGAAGAAAAAAAAAACGTTAATATAAACTCCATTAAGCGAACTTTCAAATAATAGGTTTCTTACTTTTGTCTTTTCCAATAATCAAAATATGACACAAGTTTGCAAGGAAAAATCCGTTGTTAAGTTTTATACTTCAAACATTCATTGATATTCTTCCTTGAGAAAGAATTACTTATAACTATCATTTAGATCTGTTATTCCGTGGTGCAAAAAATATATTACATATCGAATTTCATTTGCACATTTAGTCTTTTCTTTTTTTACTTTGAGAACCAACCAATTACAATTATAGAAGACGTTAGTTTGAGACAGAATTGCAACGTAACTACGACGTGACAATCCAAGTATTCCTTTACATTTCATTTATCCTTATGTTACCTTCGTTCAAGCAAACGCTAAGCTGCCTCCGTAAACCCCTATCGCGAAATATTGAAGTTGACAGAGAGAGCCGCCATTTTGAACCCGCTTCAAATTTTTAAATGCGAATATCTCGAGATGGGATTTTTCAATTCTAAAACAAATTGCACATTTCACATTCTTTAAAGAGTCTCTATTATCTTTATAAAAATCAAAGAAAAATATTGAAAAACAAAAAAGTTGAAAATTTTGATTTTTTTAATTCGCTTCCGTTAGCGACCGGAAGTACTGACGACTCACGAAAAGGACATTCCGCATATCTAGAAGTCCTGCCCTATGTTCTCCAACAAGTCTCCAGTTCATATCTTTAGTAGTTCTTTAGATCTCGAACTGACAAAATTTCATTTTAAAATCAGGAAAATGGCCATAACTTGGCACCGAAAGCGAGTTGTTCAAAAATTCTTCCAAATGTAACAATGGCATAATATAAGAGCGCATCATCCCTGAAAGTTTGATGAAAAACCGATGAATAGTTCTCGAGATATCGCGTGCACAAAATTTGTCTAAAAAATAAGAATAATAATAAGAAACAGTAGAATCACTATAAGGTCTTCCGTGAAGACGGAAGACCTTAATAAGAAACAGAGTAAAAACAATATGTTCCCCAACTTCGTTTGGGGAACATAATTAGAGGAGGAATATGATATACGGCACATATGGTGAGTATGGAAGAAAAAAAGGTCGCTTAAGCGGACTTCATATTTTATTTCTGCATTGACTGCAATCGTTAATCCCGCATTTAAGAAAAACAAGACACATTATCATTATTAAATATTTGCGACAGTCTAGATACTAGTAATAAGATATAATGAATCTAAGTAGAAAAGTATGTATTATCAATTTGTACGTTATGGCATGTTTCATTGTTGGAACAGCCGACACATAATTATCTAGTTGTTTACTTAATATATAGTTGTTTAGGTGTAATTGATGAACGAAATCTATATGGGACAAAAAAAGAATGGTTGTAAATATAAATCACTTATATCACAATATTTAAATCGCTTTTGTTAAACTTGAACTGAGGCTCGCTATTTCTTCAATACTTATATCTATTGCGCCAAATATTCTCGTTTTTAATTATCAAATGTTCTTTATACTAATAATAAAATATAAAAGACACTTTGACTATCTTATCGTTAAAACTTTTTATTACCTCCATATGTCCAGTCTGCAAACATTGTTCCTTGTTGCTCACATTTATTTTCGTCAACTTTTTCTGTAAAAAATTTTGACATGTCTATCACCAGTAGATAGAAAGCCCTTCTGCTGAGATACACCTGATGACTGGCGTAGTAGGCACATTGTCCTCCAAAGTCTACCACACTCAGAATCTGCTTGTCGTTTTTGTCTGTACTGTCTGATAATGCTGTAAAAACAATTTCATGAACTAATCGAAAATGGAAACTTTCTTTATCAAATTACCTACATCAATGGATGTCATGTATATTAAAAATTGACAATGTTCATTCAAAATTGAGTTGAACATGACTTACAAAGTGAATTGAATTTTTTTGTGTGTAAAAAAATTGAATAAAATATGTTA